AGGTTCATGATGTGTCAAACGTATTAGGTTCCTATTATAGCTGAACTGAAAACAAATTATCCTCACTGAATTCCATCCTCAGATTATATGGTTCTAGATTTTTTTTAGTACTTCTTAACTTTTAGTTGTGTTATCCACGCTTTCTTGTATAAAGGTAAGATAATTGTGTGTATCTTACACAAAATAAAGGGATAAACTTATTTATTAATATATAATTATGGAATCATAGAATCATAGAACAGCCCAGGTTGGAAGGGATCTTGAAAGACCACCTGGTCCAACCTCATGTGGAAAAGGAAGCCTAGATGAGATTACCTAACACCCTGTCCAGTTGCATCAAATACATCATAATAAATTCTGTGGGGGAAAAGAGAAGATTCTTAGCAACTGTAAGCATCTTCAAATTCAGTGATAAGCATCCCCCTCTTCACAGCCCTGGTGTGATCAGCTACAGAACTTTCAGTGCAGAAGTAAAAAAGGGATGGATGTGACTGTAAGCTGTAGGAACTTGGAAGAAAAAGAACAGATGAAAAAGAGGAAGTATTCATAGTCTAATATTACAAAGCAACTATTGCTATGCAAGAAAAATTTAAGTTTAGACATTGAGAGATACATCTGAAAGTTAAGAAAACTGGGCAATGTAAAGCACCAAAGAAAAAAGTCCCACACAGTGCGAGCTATTCATTCAGATATGTTCTGTACTAGATAATAAGCAGCAATTTAATAGATTTCATAGATGAAGATCATAAGAATGTGGATTTGAGACTTTCCAAAGCATATTGATTATGTCATTAGCATACTGTATTTTGAGCAAAATTCTACATTGCAGACTCTCAATATGGTTAATCGTAAGTTCATAGGCCAAATATGAACATATAATTTCATATATATTATATAAAAATGAGAATGGAGAAATAAAAATAGTCAAGAACTGCAAAAATAAAGAGTATAATCACAGTTTCAGAGACAATATAGGCTGGATTACCAACTAAACAACCAAAGAAGGGAACCTATTTTTGGCCATTTTAGCAGATAATGCCAGGGACTCGCTCAGAGAACACAGGATTTCACACCAGCTCTTTTTACTTACTGGTGTGATCTACCGTTCTAGCTATGCTTTTGGTTTACAGGATTTTGCATACAGTTTTACTATTTACAAAGTTTATGAAACTGTTTGATACGCTCTGCCTTAGAAGTGAAATTTAGCAACATTTTAATCATATTTAACACAAAAATTTATGAACTTACTTACCCTATTGGTCTTGAAACGACAAGCTCCACTTGTGGCTCAGGTTTGGATTCTAAAATGATGTTATATACCTCCTCAAAGGTGGCTCCTTGTAGTAGCCTTCCATTCCATTCTAATACTTCATCACCTGTAATTTCAGTAATAACACTCTGCTTAGGAAGTCTGCTGTGGACTGTACTTACAATGACAATTTAAGCCATTCTACTGTCAGTTTACTGAATTGTGATACCTGTGTTGTAAAACAAGTTTGGAGTGCTTCATACAGGAAAATTCTGAGTATTAAAGGTTTTCTGCAGCTCAGCTTCAAATACGTAAATGTCAGTGAAACAATATCATCAGTAAGACTCCTATTGAATTAGATATAGCTCTTACTTTGGCAGCTATGGCTTATAGAAATCCCAACACGCTCTTTAGAAAATGCAAATCTTTAAAACAGCATATCTCATCAACTTACTATTTTGAAGATCCATTTACCTCTACAGGTTCAGTATTTAAGGTTCAGATAGTTCTTAAGTTAACAGTTAATATTTCTTGCACATTCTCCAATCTAGCAATCCATGGTTTGCATGTTGGGATAGAAGCAGTTTCTTAGCCAAGCTGGTTCTGTTCGCACATTTGTAATAGCTTGGTTTGCTCTAAATAAAATATACACCACAAAATGACTGGGCAGGACATCAGTGGAATACTATTTTGAGTGTAAAAACATGAATAAAAATGTTAAAATATGATTTTGAACAACATGAGAATTTATATATTTCACAAAAGCAGTAACATCAATAATCTAGTAATTGAATGTCAGGTTGAATTGTGCAGTAGTTCACCACAACTATTTAACATAATTTCACATCTAATTAAACTTGCTTGCTTGTTATCACCTGCAGAAAAGCAAGTCAGCAGTAGAGACTTATAGTAAATACATACCTGGTCTAAGATGCCCCACTGTATCAGCTAAGCTTCCTTTTTTAACTTTGGTGATAAATGCGCAGAGTCGACCTGATTCAGTCATTTTTCCTCCTACTACCTGTTTCAAAGAGGAAGTATTTTCACAAAATGAAAATTACTTTAAATGACTTAAATGTTCTGGCAACAGAAAGAGCTCAATTATGTCCTCAGTTTTCATGTAGCCCAGGTAAGACAGATACACTTGAAAAAAATACCACAGAATTTTGGCTATGACAGGTTATGTTTGTACCTATTCTGGCTATTTGTGTAGTTTAAACACAATGAAAATACAGAATGCTAAAACTTTTAAATTTTAGCAAATATATGTATAGTATTTCGCTGTATTACAAACTACTACCAAAAAGTAAGGTATGGGTCATTAGACTGCTTACTTCAATACTTTTTAACTGAAAACAGATATATTAATATAACGGAATTCATGATGTTCGCAGTAAGCATGAAATGTCTCTGATTAATCAAATTCACTCTGGCTGGGCAAGTCAGATGAAAATACTTGTCATACCGAAGATTTCTCTGCAGGAAACTTCAACAGGTTTGACCTTGATATTTATCTTAGAATCAGGAGATTCACATATCAGAATCAGTTATAATTGCATAATCTTCAAATTCTTAAGGTTTCTTAATAGTCTTCATATTGGGATTTAAATTTTGTAATATTAAATACAGTTTAGGTTACTTTCAATAATGTAAATATTTGAAAATTCAGGTTAGGAATAACTGCTAAAAATTACTCTTTTCAGATGTCTACTTAGATTAAAAAGTAGTTACTCTTGAATCCAAACTACTCATGAATCTCAGTGAAGAGTTCATCTTTATAATTGAAGATTTTAGAATTTTAAACATAGAAGTTTAAACAAAAAGTACTTCATAGTGGCACTATTAGTCTCTTCTCTTGCATTTTCAGCCATTAAGACAATAACACACATACCAAAAGTGACGCTCAACTGGCGTCTCCACTAACTTCAAAATAAAATCATTTGTCAATGAAACAAAAATTTCAAGAATTTCCAAAGCATGTTAGTATATGTTATAAGTAACCACACTGATTTAATCCGCATCTACAGTGTATGACCATAGCCTAATCTACGTATCCAAAGTGAAATCAGTGTCATGCTAAATAGAGAATGGAGAATTAATCAAACTTTAATGATTTCACAAGGATGTTGAATCAAATTAAATACATTTGTTTCTTTTACTGTGTATAATTGATTCTCATTCTTGTATTGCTGGAACCACAAATAATAATATCACACAAAAATGAGATCAAGATATGAGCTAGAAATAGCTTCATAATGTGTTGGAAGAGTACTGCATCACGAAAAAGATGCAAAGACATTACTTTTTGATAATATACAATAAATAATCAAATAATTTTCTGTCTTGTGTATTTAAAATGTAGCAAATCAAACAATTAGAGGTGAAAAAAAATCCAGAAATGGGCTCTTCCATTGGCAGACTCTGCTCTGGATTGAAATGTCATTAACTTCCAGATGTCCCTCAGATCTTCAAAAGAGATAATTTATTTTTCACATTTCTCCCCTCTTTTGCGAACAGAAGTTATACCATGGTGCAATGCTCAATACTGAAGAAAGTGGACAGGGCTTGGCTTGCCGAGCAAGGATGCAATTAGTACCTTGCAGAGCAGACATTCTCAGCAAACTTGTGAAAACATCTAGTCTTTCAGAAAAACAAAATTTTTTTGAGCCTGTCAGGAACCCTGTAAAGTCACTCTTGGTAACTGAATATAAAATATCTCTATATTGTAATTTAGAGAATGAGAAGACATTATAGATATCAGTATGCATACAGTATATAATATGAGAATACTTTCATTATAAAGGTAGCTAGATTCACCAAGAATTGTTAGTTCCAAAATTATTACCAACCTTCAATCCAAGCATTGCTCCTGAGTCTCTAGGCACACTTCCATCTTTTAGTCGTTTATTTAACAAAATTCGACCAATGAGACGGTCTCCATCTTTGGATGGTTGCCAAGTTACTGGATGCTATCATATGGTGTTAATGGAAAATACAGTCAATAGGAGTTTAAAGAAAAATAATTCAGTAATACTTTTTGTTTCCTGATATATTTTTAAAATGTCATGAAAGTATTATGATTACACTAATATTTAATGTAACAGAATGACAAAAAACTGTGCTGGAAAAAGATTTATTTGGATATACAGTCCATCACAATATATGTCTAATATTTAATAACATTATCTGTTTTACTAAATCCAATTTGTAAATATATAGAATGATCTTTGTGTCTTGATTAGACATATATAGACAACTATACATAGTTATCTACACACAATGATAATCACACCTGACTACTGACTAAAACAACTGTAGAGGTCTAGTACAAAAGTAATACTGAAAAAGAAGTTTAACTCAAAACAGAAATTTCATGTAAGACATTTCTTCTTTTTCCATTATTCTAAACATGTCAGTTTTCACTAAGACTGACAAAGTTTTTCAGTGTTTTACTTTCTCTCAATAGTACTGTATTAAAAACTATAGACTACATTAAAACTTACAGTCATTACTCTATTTTAAATGTATTGTTTCCTTCTTGGAATAATTCACATATGAAGCATAGTTACAGTTAATGCACAGTTATACTTGCATATTGGCATAATTAATAAAATTTTAACATTTTCTTTTGTGTAATCATAGCACTTTTTCCACAGAAAAATACTATTCATGCTCTATTTCATGCAAAATTAGCAGGCACAGACAAATCTGCTTCCATTACAACTAATAACTCTAAAAAGATTTATCATAATCTCCACCAAACAGAAAGCAAAAATAAAAAATATGAAAGCAGACGGCAAAGCCTTTAATTCTGCACAATACTGCACAAAAATGGCATGGCAACAAAACAAAAGAACAACTATGATAGTGAAAGGGAAAAAAGAAAAACAACTTTTCTGTGCAGAGAGACGTAATTTTCTCCCTTTTTCACCTGGGGTTTAAACTATTAATTTAATTTCAGCCCCAGGAGTTTGAACATAGTAAATCAAATAAGCCAATCAGTAGAATCCTTATTGTTAATTACTTTATACTTGAAGGTTATACCATGATATGCTATTATGCAACCATAAGAACAACATTCCTTTATGCCTCTCAATTTTTTTCTTAGGCTGCCAAACAGTAAAAGCTGCAAGCATGCAGAGACTTTTCATTTGTTTTTCTTTTCTGCACCTTAAGAAATGCTACATTATCTCTAGAAACACCCTATCTTTTATTTTATGCACTATTTTAATGAGTGACAGAGAGCAAACAACGATCAAATGAGCAGGTTAAAATGCAGGCTCCATAATCTCAGTACCTTCTCGCTATGGCTATGTTCCTCGTTTAGAGTTGTGCTACTACACGTATCTACCCCAGAGTCTTTTATCTGAGGCTCAGACCATTCCAAGTCCTCTTCCAAAGAGTGGCCACCAAAGCACACCATTTTCTTTTGCCTCTCGGATAAGGTGTTAGAATCCGACAAAACTGCCTGCTCACTAGTTTTTCTTTTTCCCCTTTGACTGTTCCCTATAGATGTGGGATAAAAAAAAGGATACAAAAAAGAAAACATGCAAAGGTGTAAATAAACCAAAGGAAATGTGAAATGATAAAGGAAACTAAATGGTAAGGCTCCACATGTCTCACCAAAGACATTGGGGATGCCTCACTGCTATGCCAAGACGTATGATCCAACCAGTTGTAATCCATGTCTCCTGCGAGAATCAGACAGACAAGATAGTGCAGTAAAGGAAAGGTGAAAGAAAGGACAGACAAAGATACAGTAAAATTGTAAAGATTTCTGATTATCCTATCTGATTCACAACCTCTGCTAGCAGGACTTGCAAAGCGCTTCCAAAAAAAAGTTAAGGCTCCAACAACAGAGTACATGGAATACGAAATACAGTGGGGAAGGAGGTACGTTTGTGTGTGTCCATGTGTACATAAAATTATGTACAGGGTAAAGTATCATTGCTTCAGAGTTGTTAACTGTTCCTATAAAATTACTTACAGTAAATTAAATGAAAAGGTAAATTGAATTGTATTCCTAGCAGAACTTTCAGAAAGCAAAGCATTTGAATATGGAGTAAGTCTTCACCATAATCTAAAGAAACGGTTTTGTCTTAAGGAACATATTTCTTTGTTTTTCTAACACAAACTAGCATTTATTCTAATCACTGCAATAAAATGCTTTAAAAAATGGTAGATGATGTTTCAAGGAAGGTTAAATGATCTGTTAAATATGATTAATTAAAAAAACAAATAAAGAAATTGGTTTTAGAATAAAAAGAATATTAACTTTCCTCGAAATTCCCAGACAAATGTCTACTGGTTAAATATCAGGAAAAATTCTAGTAAGTACAGGTACTTCATAACTGGGAATAAATGTATAGGGTTTTGATGAAATATATATATTTATTTATTTTACAGAATCAGAATTTAACCTGTATGGCAGACACATGCTAGGAAGAAAGGTTTACAAAAAGTTTTAAAGAAAAGTTCTAAATTAATGCTGCTGTCCATAGAACTGGACAATGATTCATGTATTTTAATAAAACATTCTCTTTTATCCAGGTACTTTAAATTGTAAATTATGCCCACACATTTTGCATTATTACATTTATCTCTTTTTTATTCTCACCATTGTTACTACATGTTACATGAAAAATATTCTGTTACTATATGCTACATAATATTTTAATACTATCGTATGCAGGAAAAACTGTTGAATTTTCTATCAAATTTCATGACCAAAAGAGCACCAAACCAAAGTAGTTCTGCTCTATTTAGTACAGACCACAAATAACATTTTTCTATTTCCTTCAGATCCTGCTTTGATATTGCTCAACCTATTCCTCTCAAACTACACCAGTAAGTTGATGAAATATAACTAATAGGTCTAACCACAATCTTAACACTTGTCTAGAAAACTTTACAGAGAGGATGTGAAGATACAGTCCCATAAAACTAAGCTACAAAATGGTAATACATGCTTTAGAAAAGTAAAGTACAGTTTCCTCAGAAGGATATTACATACAATGAGAAATATGATCTTTTTTCACTTGTTTTCTCCTAATATACAGATTTGCATATGCTATATGGGAGGAAAAAAAAAATAATCAAGCCTCATTTTCATTTTAAAGAAGGCTATGTACAGAATACAAAGGTTTTATTTTCAAAAAGACTCTGAACTTAGTCCCTTACATTTTGCAGAAACACAGTGGCATATTAAATATCCTTTGATTTCATAAAAACAATGGTAAAGGGATCTCACAAAATTATTTTGAAGCTTTAATTCATTCACATTTTCTGAAGTAATAAATAGGCCTGCTATAAATGTATTAACTCTGTTTCTCATTCTTGAAGACAACATTTTAAAACAGGAAATTCTCACCAAAACTGCTTTTTCATGACTGTTAACATTTTGACTGTATTACAGATAAAAGTTGACTGTCCTGCTAAAGGAAAAAGAAATGTTCTTCTGAAAGCTAATAATATTTTGCAAAAGGTACTTCTGCCATGGAATTTCCAGTACTGTCTTACCTCTGCCTCCAAAGACATTGCTTCAGGGGAACTGAGTGAAATCATCAGTGAGCTCATGAAGAGCTAGCCTTTACTGCATAAATATACATTTAGAGATATCCAGAAGATAGCAAGAGTTCCAGTCTACATATTGCCTGGATCTTAAGTGAGGAAAACCCATCTCATTAGAGTAATGATGACTTCTCAGCTGTAATCGCATGAACTAAAGGCACATGTTTTTTCCCAGCAGTTATTTTCTGTCATATCAAGGCAATGTATCCAAAACCAAAGTCTGACTAGAAGAGTTATAATTTGGTTCCCTACAATTTGGTATCTAATTCTGGCAGAAGAGCACTGAAACAAAATGGGCTTTATGAGCAGAACAGTTAAAACTGATCATTCTCACTGATTCTAATTCCTGACTGTTTCTGAGAAATGGTGTACTTTCATTGAAATGACTAAATTTAAATGTAGATATCTACCATCAGGCAATAGGAATCTACCACTGCACATTACTGGCCATTTTTTAAGGTTTTAAAATTCTCAGCAACAACATCAACTATCACTTATATTCCAAACCAAGCCACCAGAAAGGAATCCAGGAGTATAGCTATTATATCCTTGCTGTTCCTAGTGAACATATGACTTTACCTATACTTTATGAAAACCATCATGGCTTTGCCAGCTGTCTTACTCATGCCTTTTCCCATAATAATTATACATTTTTATATGAGCTTGTCAAGAGCAAGGATTCTTATCAAACTGAACTTTCACTTGTGTGTCTACACAGAAAATAAGTTCTTAAAAACAGGAAAATAAGTTATTGAAAAGTCACGGCCCCTGAGATGTACTGACCATACACACATTCCCACTGCAAACGTGCATATACTTAGTCATCAAAAACCGGTCCAATTTTCACTTGACACTTGCATGTCCACAATATGTGGCATACACTCAGAGACAGAAATTAAATTAGCTTTACAGTAAGTGTACTTTATACTACAGGTGTGCTGTAGATTTATAAATTCATCCTATAGGTGTCTATATGAGCAAATGTTGGGCAGTGCTGGGCTCTAACAGTCTGGCATATGCACATCCACATTTGAAACATATACACTGACTTTCAGCTGGAGAAAGAAATTCTGGATCTTTTTTTCTTTAATAGAGATAACCAAAATAGTAATCTACATACATTAATGCATACAATAATATGTGATATCACATATTATTTAAGTTATTGAGAGTGATAAATTTTTGAGAGTGATAACTGAAAATTTTTAAAACTTCCCATTACACAGTAAAAAAAATACATTGGTTATTTTCCTACTATAGAAGTTCCAATTTCTCTCTACTTTCAGGGAAAAAAAAATAAAAATCTTCTAAGGTAAGTCTTTTTACATCCTGTTATGGAAATTTTACAGCCAACTCTCAAATAATTGAATCTAGACCTCTACTTCTTCTACCCAAATTTTGGATATTCACTGTACAGATCTGTACAACTGAATTAATCAGCTTACGTTCCTTTCACAATCAGTGAAGGGAAATGGAATTTTTTAAAATGTGGTTCATTTGACCTGTTTTAGATGTGTACGTCCAGGTGATTATCTCATACTTTCATCATATCCAAAATGCCTTATTTCTCCTCCACTGCTTATAAAGGAGACCTCAGTGACTCATTCAGATGGTCATCATCTTTTTATCAGGACAATCCTACTACCCTAAATTACTATTTTGACACAGCCTCAAGTATTTGTTTACATATCCAAGAAAATACCAAAATTATCACAAAAAAGACTCAGGAATCTTCAAGCTCTCATGGAAGGCAAATCTACCAGACTGATTTTATGCAACTAGAAATACCAAATACTTCTTTTAATATGTCACTTGCACAGGGTATCATATACTCTCTTTTTCACTCTTCACCTTAGCAGGGGTAATGGAGACTAAAAGGATCTCTGGACCAGTTTCTGTGTTCAAGTCTTTATGCATAGGTCTCAGACTCATCTGCTGGTGTAACTGACTTCTGCTTACTACAATGGTTTCCAAGAGTCCTCTCACCCATGTATTACTATACCGTGCATCCACATACTATATGTGTCCAAGATTAGACACATTTAGTCCAGCAAACCTAAGGCATTAGCACATAGAAATTACTTACATTTTAAAAGATCCAGTTATTTTGCAACAGTTACTCTTTATCAAATGCTAAGCCCTGAACCTAAACCTACACAGAGGAAGACACGCAAAGTTGAGCCTGCTGCCTGATCAAAGCACTCCCACTTCTTGCTCTACTATTTTCCCCTCTCCTTTTCAGTCCAGACGTAGAAAGTTGACTTTCTTTTTAATATAGTTGTGTCTCACAGTAAATACCAATTATTCTAAAATTAAAATAAGAAAATAAGCACTAACTGCATCCAAAGACTGTTTTGTTCATATCCATATTCTTTTTTCTCCATTAAAATATATAGACACATGTTTCAAAAAAATTGTCATAGAAATTAGAAATCATAAAGCTCTTGTAGATCATCTAGATTTTGCCCTTAACAGTGCATTAAGTTATCTAAATGACAGGACTAAATACTATAAAAGTTACTAAAATGCAATCAAACTATCATTAATAGAATATTTAAATTTATAAAAATATATCCAGGATGACTGTCTGGAAGCCCTGTAGTGTACTACATTTCTGTGAGAGACATGTATTCCTTAGTACACCCACACTTTTTTGAGGTACAATGAATGACTTGATAAAATCACTGGACATAAATTTTTCAGTGCAAGTTCTATAAATATTAAAATCTTGACTGGGTAAATGATTTCTGAAATCTTGTAAAATTAAAACTAATGCATGTAAGACACATA